GGCCAGACTTCTCCAGACAGTAGATGGGTGTACCCGGGTCCCACTGGTTTCCTCCAGTTCTGTGCTGATGGCACTGCTGGACATCTTCCCATGTGGAAGGGAAGTAAGCATGATGTGTCTTTCATCTGCTGCATTAAGTTTCCTCGGCTGACTACTCAACATTACCCAACCACTGCGCCTACGCTCCTCAACATTGCCCGACCACTGCGTCTACGCTCCTTAACATACCCGACCACTGCATCTACGCTCCTCAACAATACCCGACCACTGCATCTACGCTCCTCAACATTACCCAACCACTGCGTCTACAGTCCTCAACATTACCCGACCACTACGTATACGCTCCTCAACATTGACCGACCACTGCATCTACGCTCCTCAACATTACCCGACCACTGCATCTACGCTCCTCAACATTACCCAACCACTGCGTCTACGCTCCTCAACATTGCCTGACCACTGCATCTACGCTCCTTAACATTACTTGACCACTGCGTCTACACTCCTCAACATTGCCCGACCACTGCGTCTACACTCCTCAACATTGCCCGACCACTGCGTCTACACTCCTCAACATTGCCCGACCACTGCATCTACACTCCTCAACGTTACCTGACCACTATGTCTACAGTCCTCAACGTTGCCCGACCACTGCGTCTGCGCTCCTCAACATTGCCCAACCACTGTGTCTGCAGTCCTCAACATTACCTGACCACTGCGTCTACATTTCTCTGTGTTAACCGACCACTGCATCTACGCTCCTCAACATTGCCCAACCACTGCGTCTACATTCCTTAACGTTGACCGACCACTGCGTCTACACTTCTCTACGTTACCCGACCACTGCGTGTACAGTCTTCAACATTACCTGACCACTGCATCTATGCTCCTCAATGTTACCTGACCACTGTGTCTACTCTTCGGACAGTTTCATGATCACTTCATCTACGCTCCTCAATGTTGCTTCCCCCATCCTCTGGAACTCACTACCCCAATCCATCAGACTGTCACCTACCCTCCTCACCTTTAGGCGCACCCTGAAAATCCATCTCTGCAGGGAAGCCTACCCCACCCTCCCCTAATTGCCGATCTCCTCCGCTCTTCCCACCACTCCATTCCCCACAGCTATTTCCTCCTGTACCACTATCCCCTCCCTCCTAGATTGTAAGCTCCAAGGAGCAGGGCCCTCGAACCCCTCGTGTATTGTAATGTATTGTTACTGTACTGTCTCGTGTACTGTCTCCCATTATAATGTACAGCGCTGAGCAAACTATTGGCACTATATACTGTATAATAATAATAATAATGTTGCCTGACCACTGTGTCTACTCTTCGCAATATTGCATGACCATTGCATCTACGCTCCTCAACGTTACCCGACCACTGCATCTACGCTCCTCAACATTACCCGACCACTGCATCTACAGTCCTCAACATTACCCGACCACTGCATCTACGCTCCTTAACGTTACCCGACCACTGCATCTACGCTCCTTAACGTTACCCGACCACTGCATCTACGCTCCTTAACGTTACCCAACCACTGCATCTACACTCCTCAACATTACCCAACCACTGCATCTACGCTCCTCAACATTACCCCACCACTGCGTCTACACTCCTCAACATTACCCAACCACTGCATCTACACTCCTCAACATTACCCGACCACTGCATCTACGCTCCTTAACGTTACCCAACCACTGCGTCTACACTCCTCAACATTACCCAACCACTGCATCTACACTCCTCAACATTACTCAACCACTGCATCTACGCTCCTCAACATTACCCAACCACTGCATCTATGCTCCTCAACATTACCCGACCACTGCGTCTACGCTCCTCAACATTACCCGACAACTGCATCTACCGTCCTCAACATTACTCGACCACTGCATATACGCTCTTCAATGTTACCCAACCACTGTATCTATTGTCCTCAGCGTTGCCCTCATGTACTGCTGGCAATGCTAAAGTCAGATGGGAATTGAATGTGACTCTCCAGAAGCAACAAGAAATAAGATGATTTTCTTTAGTAGAGTTGGGAAAGGCTTTTTATTTTGGTCTTTTTTCCATGCTGCAGGTTTTCCCTCACTTCCTGTCTATCAAAACATTTGTCAGCAGGACAGGAAATGAGGACAAATCTCCATAATGGATGGCAATAAAAACCTGACCAGAGTTCTAATCCTATCCAGCTCCATCCAAATGTGGAAAAAAGGTTCGAGCCCGGACAAAGACTTAAAAGTGGAGTTCCTGGTTTACTGCGACTTTATATACAGTATAATAATCAGTGAGTTTCAATAAGTGTGTTCCTGCTGATAATGGCCGGCCGTCTAAAGTAATCCATACAATTAGAGAGAAATACAGGAAATCAAAATCTGAAACTGTAAATAAATAAAATCTGTACAAATAAATGAATGTGTCTGCGCCGGGAGCAGATTTCGGCATCGGTTTGGAAGTGCCGGGGTCACTTGTCCTCAGAGGGATCCCCTCCCTCCATGCGGCACCCGCATCTCGCCTAAGCAGATGTGGCAGCATAATTAGTTTGTCTTATGTGTGTTTGTGATTTCACTCACTGGACCGTATCGCCAATTAAAAGCGGCTCCCTCCTCCTAATGGAGAGTAATTGAAGATTGCTCTGCCAAATCACACATGGGGACCGATGCAAAGTGAGCGCAGAGAGTGGTGGGAGAGGAGCTTGCGGGGGCCCCAGATCATTACATACCGGTCCGGACTTACAGGGACTGTTCAACTTTATTTATATGACTCTGACATATGTACTGTACAGAGAACACAGCCACATCATTCACTGTACCAGAGGAGCTTACACTCTAATGTCCCCTCCCCCACAGTCACATCATTCACTGTACCAGAGGAGCTTACACTCTAATGTCCCCTCCCCCACAGCCACATCATTCACTGTACCAGAGGAGCTTACACTCTAATGTCCCCTCCCCCACAGTCACATCATTCACTGTACCAGAGGAGCTTACACTCTAATGTCCCCTCCCCCACAGTCACATCATTCACTGTACCAGAGGAGCTTACACGCTAATGTCCCCTCCCCCACAGTCACATCAGTCTCTGTATTAGAAGAGCTTACACTCTAATGTCCCCTCCCCCACAGTCACATCAGTCTCTGTATTAGAAGAGCTTACACTCTAATGTCCCCTCCCCCACAGTCACATCAGTCTCTGTACTAGAAGAGCTTACACTCTAATGTCCCCTCCCCCACAGTCACATCATTCACTGTACCAGAGGAGCTTACACTCTAATGTCCCCTCCCCCACAATCACATCAGTCTCTGTACCAGAGGAGCTTACACTCTAATGTCCCCTCCCCCACACTCACACACTATTATTATTGTCCATTTATATAGCTCTGACATATACCGCAGCGCTGTACAGAGAACACAGAGCCAGTCACATCAGTCTCTGTACCAGAGAAGCTTACACTTTAATGTCTCCTCCCCCACAATCACATCAGTCTCTGTACCAGAGGAGCTTAGTCTCTAATGTCCCCTCCCCCCACAGTCACATCAGTCTCTGTACCAGAGGAGCTTACACTCTAATGTCCCCTCCCCCACAGTCACATCAGTCTCTGTACCAGAGGAGCTTACACTCTAATGTCCCCTCCCCCACAGTCACATCAGTCTCTGTACTAGAGGAGCTTACACTCTAATGTCCCCTCCCCCACAGTCACATTAGTCTCTGTACCAGAGGAGCTTACACTCTAATGTCCCCTCCCCCACAGTCACACGCTATTATTATTATACCTTTATACAATCTGCACCAAGCTCCCTTTATCAGGATGGGGGGGGGGGGGGTATAGAAGCCTGATGTGTAGGTTTAGTCTTCACTCAGTCTTGGTTGACTCCTAAACCCAGTGATGTGGTCTCCTCTTCTCTATCTATGGTGTGATCTGTAGACAATCGGGAAATAAAAAAAAAGTTTAGCTATATTTAAGGGACATTCTTCCCACTGACCACCAATGTAGGGGACATTCTTCCCACTGACCTCCAATGTAGGGGACATTCTTCCCACTGACCACCAATGTAAGGGACATTCTTCCCACTGACCCCCAATGTAAGTGACATTCTTCCCACTGACCACCAATGTAAGGGACATTCTTCCCACTGACCTCCAATGTAGGGGACATTCTTCCCACTGACCCCCAATGTAAGGGACATTCTTCCCACTGACCTCCAATGTAAGGGACATTCTTCCCACTGATCCCCAATGTAAGGGACATTCTTCCCACTGACCCCCAATGTAAGGGACATTCTTCCCACTGACCACCAATGTAAGGGACATTCTTCCCACTGACCCCCAATGTAAGGGACATTCTTCCCACTGACCCCCAATGTAAGGGACATTCTTCCCACTGATCACCAATGTAAGGGACATTCTTCCCACTGACCACCAATGTAAGGGACATTCTTCCCACTGACCACCAATGTAAGGGACATTCTTCCCACTGACCCCCAATGTAAGGGACATTCTTCCCACTGACCCCCAATGTAAGGGACATTCTTCCCACTGATCACTAATGTAAGGGACATTCTTCCCACTGACCCCCAATGTAAGGGACATTCTTCCCACTGACCCCCAATGTAAGGGACATTCTTCCCACTGACCACCAATGTAAGGGACATTCTTCCCACTGATCTCCAATGTAAGGAACATTCTTCCCACTGATCTCCAATGTAAGGGACATTCTTCCCACTGACCCCCAATGTAAGGGACATTTCTCCCACTGATCACCAATGTAAGGGACATTCTTCCCACTGACCAACAATGTAAGGGACATTCTCCCCACTGACCACCAATGTAAGGGACATTCTTCCCACTGACCTCCAATGTAAGGGACATTCTTCCCACTGACCAACAATGTAAGGGACATTCTCCCCACTGACCACCAATGTAAGGGACATTCTTCCCACTGATCACCAATGTAAGGGACATTCTTCCCACTGATCACCAATGTAAGGGACATTCTTCCCACTGACCACCAATGTAAGGGACATTCTTCCCACTGACCACCAATGTAAGGGACATTCTTCCCACTGACCACCAATGTAAGGGACATTCTTCCCACTGACCACCAATGTAAGGAACATTCTTCCCACTGACCCCCAATGTAAGGGACATTCTTCCCACTGACCTCCAATGTAAGGGACATTCTCCCCACTGACCCCCCAATGTAAGGGACATTCTTCCCACTGACCGCCAATGTAAGGGACATTCTTCCCACTGACCTCCAATGTAAGGGACATTCTCCCCACTGACCCCCCAATGTAAGGGACATTCTTCCCACTGACCTCCAATGTAAGGGACATTCTCCCCACTGACCCCCCAATGTAAGGGACATTCTTCCCACTGACCGCCAATGTAAGGGACATTCTTCCCACTGACCTCCAATGTAAGGGACATTCTCCCCACTGACCCCCCAATGTAAGGGACATTCTTCCCACTGATCACCAATGTAAGGGACATTCTTCCCACTGATCTCCAATGTAAGGGACATTCTTCCCACTGACCCCCAATGTAAGGGACGTTCTTCCCACTGACCACCAATGTAAGGGATGTTCTTCCCACTGACCACCAATGTAAGGGACATTCTTCCCACTGACCCCCAATGTAAGGGACATTCTTCCCACTGATCACCAATGTAAGGGACATTCTTCCCACTGACCCCCAATGTAAGGGACATTCTCCCCACTGACCCCCAATGTAAGGGACATTCTTCCCACTGACCACCAATGTAAGGGACATTCTTCCCACTGATCTCCAATGTAAGGAACATTCTTCCCACTGATCTCCAATGTAAGGGACATTCTTCCCACTGACCCCCAATGTAAGGGACATTTCTCCCACTGATCACCAATGTAAGGGACATTCTTCCCACTGACCAACAATGTAAGGGACATTCTCCCCACTGACCACCAATGTAAGGGACATTCTTCCCACTGACCTCCAATGTAAGGGACATTCTTCCCACTGACCAACAATGTAAGGGACATTCTCCCCACTGACCACCAATGTAAGGGACATTCTTCCCACTGATCACCAATGTAAGGGACATTCTTCCCACTGATCACCAATGTAAGGGACATTCTTCCCACTGACCACCAATGTAAGGGACATTCTTCCCACTGACCACCAATGTAAGGGACATTCTTCCCACTGACCACCAATGTAAGGGACATTCTTCCCACTGACCACCAATGTAAGGAACATTCTTCCCACTGACCCCCAATGTAAGGGACATTCTTCCACTGACCTCCAATGTAAGGGACATTCTCCCCACTGACCCCCCAATGTAAGGGACATTCTTCCCACTGACCGCCAATGTAAGGGACATTCTTCCCACTGACCTCCAATGTAAGGGACATTCTCCCCACTGACCCCCCAATGTAAGGGACATTCTTCCCACTGACCTCCAATGTAAGGGACATTCTCCCCACTGATCACCAATGTAAGGGACATTCTTCCCACTGACCACCAATGTAAGGGACATTCTTCCCACTGATCACCAATGTAAGGGACATTCTTCCCACTGATCTCCAATGTAAGGGACATTCTTCCCACTGACCCCCAATGTAAGGGACGTTCTTCCCACTGACCACCAATGTAAGGGATGTTCTTCCCACTGACCACCAATGTAAGGGACATTCTTCCCACTGACCCCCAATGTAAGGGACATTCTTCCCACTGATCACCAATGTAAGGGACATTCTTCCCACTGACCCCCAATGTAAGGGACATTCTCCCCACTGACCCCCAATGTAAGGGACATTCTTCCCACTGATCACCAATGTAAGGGGCATTCTTCCCACTGACCCCCAATGTAAGGGACATTCTTCCCACTGATCACCAATGTAAGGGACATTCTTCCCACTGATCCCCAATGTAAGGGACATTCTTCCCACTGACCACCAATGTAAGGGACATTCTTCCCACTGACCACCAATGTAAGGGACATTCTTCCCAATGACCCCCAATGTAAGGGACATTCTTCCCACTGACCCCCAATGTAAGGGACATTCTTCCCACTGATCCCCAATGTAAGGGACATTCTTCCCACTGATCACCATTTCATTGATTTTAGCACGGGTTCCCCAAGCCCTAAACGTGGTTTCAGTGGTTCTTCAGGGACAAAGAGGTTGAGAAATGTTGATTTACACGTCACCGAACGCCACAGGGAAGCTGTGTAAACACCAGAGTTCCTCTTTAAGAAGGTTCTGAGCCCTTGCCATTTTCCGCTCTCCAATTAGCACCAAGGTCAGGCTTGTTTTCAGATGGACATCCTTCGCTACTTAGCGTTGGGCTATATTCGGGAAGCCCATCACGGATCTGTCTTGGGCTTGAAATATTTATTAAGGACGCTTGTACTCTTTTGATGGTTCTAATTGCTGCCAATCTGCCGAGGCGGATCGCCTGACCTTCACCGGGGGCAGTGACCTGAGACGGAGCAGAACATTCGGCGCCCAAAGTGGAAACCGTCAAACTGCGCTGACAAGCAGCAAAGCAGCTCCAGAAGTGGCCAGAGAGCAATCGCTCCATTTATTTACTTGTTTTATTATCGCTTTTTTTTTCTTTTTTTGCAATTTTACATATTTTAAATATTTATTACGGTTGCTATAAAAAAAAAAAAAACATACAGCGCATGCGGTTTACATTGGTTTAGCCATTCCAGATCAACATTTCTATACTCAGCATGGACCATAATAATATATATATATATTATAAAAAAAATATGATAGATATATACTGTGTGTGTATATATATATATGTGTGTGCCTTCGACACAGTTGACCCCCCCCCCTCCTCCTTAAAAAACTGCACTCCCTCGGCCTCAGAGATTCCACTCTCTCCTGGCTCTCCTCCTATCTATCCCAACGCTCTTTCATCAGCGTTACCTATAATGCTACCACCTCCCCCTCTCTGTTGGGGACCCTCAAGGCTCTGTCCTCGGGCCCCTTCTCTTCTCCATCTACACCTCCTCCCTCAGCAAACTGATATACTCCCACGGCTTCAACTATCACCTCTACGCCGACGACACACAAATTTACCTCTCCACCCCCCACCTCACCCCTTCAGTCTCCGCCCGAATCACCTGCCTACTGAACGACATATCAGACTGGATGTCGCTCCACTTCCTCAAACTGACCCTCACAAAAATGGAGCTCCTAATTTTCCCCCCCAGCCCGTGCCCCCCCCATCCTCTCCATCACGACCAACAACGCCACCATCAGTTCCACCCCGCAAGCCAAAGTCCTAGGTGTTACTCTAGACTCAAACCTGTCCTTCCAACCCCATGTCCAATTGTTGGCAAACTCATGCAGGCTCCACCTCCGCAACATCTCCAAAATACGTCCCTAACCCCAGACACTACTAAACTACTCGTTCACTTCCCTTATTATCTCACGTCTGGACTACTGCAACTCCCTCCTCACCGGCCTACCTCATCATAGACTATCCCCTCTTCAGTCTATCCTGAACTCAGCGGCCAGACTCATCCACCTTACCAACCGCTCCGTATCCGCTTCCCCCCTCTGTCATTCCCTCCACTGGCCTCCATTCAGTGTCCTCCACCCCTCTCTGTCATTCTGTCCACTGGCCTCCACTCAGTGTCCTCCACCCCTCTCTGTCATTCTGTCCACTGGCCTCCACCCCCCTCTGTCATTCCCTCCACTGGCCTCCACTCAGTGTCCTCCACCCCTCTCTGTCATTCTGTCCACTGGCCTCCACCCCCCTCTGTCATTCCCTCCACTGGCCTCCACCCCCCTCTGTCATTCCCTCCACCCCCCTCTGTCATTCCCTCCACTGGCTCCCGATTGCCCAACGCATTAAATTCAAACTACTAACCCTGACATACAAAGCCATTCATAACTCTGCCCCAAACTACCTCACCGACCTGATACCCAAATACCATCCTACCCGTAATCTTCGCTCCTCACAAGACCTCCTACTTTCTAGCTCCCTGGTCTCCACCTCCCACGCCCGACTGCAGGACTTCTCCAGGACTTCCCCCATCCTCTGGAACTCCCTGCCCCAATCCATCAGACTGTCACCTACCCTCCTCACCTTTAGGCACATCCTGAAAACCCATCTCTTCAGGGAAGCCTACCCCACCCTCACCTAACAGCCGATCTCCTCCACTCCTCCCACCACTCCATCCCCCACAGCCATTTCCTCCTGTACCTCTACCCCCTCCCTCCTAGATTGTAAGCTCCAAGGAGCAGGACCCTCGAACCCCTCATGTATTGTATTGTTACTGTATTGTCTCATGTTCTGTCCCCCACTATAATGTACAGTGCTGAGCAAACCTTTCTGGCGCTATATAAATACCGTATAATAAAAAAAAAAATATATATATATATATAAAAATATACATAGTGTGTGTGTGTATATATAGTAATCAAAATATAAAATTATATTAATAATAATTAACTTAAAACCTATCTTAATCCAAAAATAAAAATATATGTTTTTGTTATAGTTTGCATAACGTATTTATTTATTTATTTATGTATTTCTTTTTCATTCCAACAAATAAATATATATTATACTGCACACCTTCATCCAAACATAATACTAAATTAATAATTAACTCAAAGCATATCTTAAACCAAACATAAAAAAGATGATTTTGTTATATTTTGCATATTTATTTATGTACTATTTTTTTTTTATCCAGCTAAAACCAACTAAAAAATATAGTATGGCAATTTAATAACTTTGATAACATTGCCTACATTAAAGGTACTGCATGAAAGTTGGGTTGATGGATGGTTCCCTCAAATTTCGTTTTCCCTTTTTTTTTTTCCATATATTAAATGCATAATCATGACGGAAGAAAAAAATTACATAAAACTAAGATAATGATGGTACCCTACTGCAGTAACTGAAACTCTGGAGATTTATCCCTGTTATTTAACCTCCTCGGCGGTCTGATTCTTTCCGATTTTTTGTGCTGAAAGCAGTGCCATTTTTTTGCATGGAAATATGTAGTTTTTTATTGTAGGTCTGTAATATTTAGGAATAACTCACTGAAATCTGTCCAAACAAGAGTCTAGTAAACATCCCGGGGAGGATAAAATTTGAAACACGAAATCATAAATTATAATTTAATAAATAATCATAAAAAATAATAATATAATAATAATAAATTTAATTCAATAATATAATCAAACCAAAAACACTGAAATTTGAAATACAGAGGCAAATTCGCACATCGCTGAGCAGAATCGTTTTCAGTGTCTGATGAGGAATTTCCCCCACGAATCATTATCACTCAATTCTGCAAGTGGTTCTGATTTACTATCGCTGTTCTCTAGCCGGTCTAAAACCGCGTCTGACCTAAAGGGACACTTTTTGGACGCCATGGACGTTTCTCAGTTTCCAGGCAGAAAGAACAGTAAAAATGCAGACAGGGCGCCGGACAAAGCACTCGGGACAAAATGTATGTGAAATGCATTGAAACAGCAATGACAGCAAAAATGACAATTTTTAAAAAATTCAAATTTCCCGCCGCTGCCGCCGCCCGTACGTCCCGACGTCACAGGGACCGGAACACAGAAGCTGGATGCCGGCATCAGCCGGAGGAGATGGCTGGGGACGCTGGAGGGGACAGATCGCGGGAGCGAAGGACAAGGTAAGTGCTGCAGGGACTCCCAGAACAGCGCCGCATGGTAAGCCCGAGTGTAGCTCAGGGTTACCACTTTTGGTATAGAAATTTTACCCCGAGCTACACTCGGGAACACCGCTAAGGAGGTTAACCCATAAAAAAAAAAAATATATATATATATATATATATATATTATTATTATTATACAGGATTTATATATTATTATTATTTATACAGGATTTATGGCGCCAACAGTTTGCTCAGCGCTGTACAATATAACGGGAGACAATACAGCAACAATACAGTTCACTACAAGAGGGATAGGAGGGCCCTGATCCTGGGAGCTTACAATCTAAGATCTATATATATATATATAAATATGTACTTTAAAAAACATACATATATATAGATATATAGATAGATATATACATAGATATATCTATATATATACGTATATATATATATATATATATACAGTGGGGATCGAAAGTTTGGGCACCCCAGCTAAAAATGTGTATTAATGTGCATAAAGAAGCCAAGGAAAGATGGAAAAATCTCCAAAAGGCATCAAATTACAGATTAGACATTCTTATAATATGTCAACAAAAGTTAGATTTTATTTCCATCATTTACACTTTCAAAATAACAGAAAACAAAAAAATTGCGTCTGCAAAAGTTTGGGCCCCCTGCAGAATTTATAGCATGCACTGCCCCCTTTTGCAAAGCTGACACCTGCCAGTGTCATGGATTGTTCTCAATCATCGTCTGGGAAGACCAGATGATGTCAATCACAAAGGTTTTAAATGCCCAGACTCATCTGACCTTGCCCCAACAATCAGCACCATGGGTTATTCTAAGCAGTTGTCTAGAAAACTGAAACTGAAAATAGTTGACACTCACAAAGCTGGAGAAGGCTATAAGAAGATAGCAAAGCGATTTCAGATGTCAATATCCTCTGTTCAGAATGTAATTAAGAAATGGCAGTCATCAGGAACAGTGGAAGTTAAAGCAAGATCTGGAAGACCAAGAAAAATATCAGACAGAACAGCTCGCAGGATTGTGAGAAAAACAATTCAAAACCCACGTTTGACTGCACGATCACTCCAGAAAGATCTGGCAGACACTGGAGTTGTGGTCACTATTCCACTATAAAGAGATACTTGTACAAATATGGTCTTCATGGAAGAGTCATCAGAAGAAAACCTCTTCTACGTCCTCACCACAAAAATCATCGTTTGAACTTTGCAAATGAAGATATAGACAAGCCTGATGCATTTTGGAAACAAGTTCTGTGGACC